GGGGGGGGAAACGGAATATGACGCAGCTGGGTTTGCTGAGGTCAGATGTGCAGTGTTCTGTTTGCGGATGAGAGCGCTGCTGCGCCGGCCGCGCCGCGTGCTGCCGTCCGCTCTTCCACAGAGACAATCCGGTCCAGCCTTAAAGGGGCCGAGCGATCTGCGGCAGCTACTGCAGAACACGAGATCTGAAAGTAATAAAAAATATTAGCAGTTTCAAACTTTTTGGTTGTTAGATTTTTTTAACTAACGAAAGTTAGTTTGACATTTTTTGGATTCTTAAACCGTTACATTTGCTTTACGTGAATAATTATCTACGATTTTAAGTAGCAGTGGCCTTTGGAGGGTAAGAAACTATAACATCATAGCTGAGCCTTGCCTTGTCCATTTTCCCATATCACTCCAGCTCCCGTCATCCTGCCCGTCTTCCTCACAACTAATTTTCCCAGTTTTGCACCTTCTTACTTTGATTGTTTCTGTTCAGGATGCCATTTTATTCAGAACCACTTTTAAGAAATAACATCAGATACTGTGTATAAATTACACATCCATCACTCCTGGTTTTGTTTTGTTCTCCATGGAGGTGAAGAAATGTTTGAAGGTTGAGTTGTGTTTTGTCAGAGTAAACATGAACGTTTTGAGAAACGTTCTCAGTGATGCGTCCATACGGATGTACCTGCTGAACATGCAGCTACAGCAGAGACTACTGACTATTTATGTGTTGAACACACATAAATAATTTATGTGTGTTCAACATAAATAATTTAGTTTAGATAATGAATGTGTAAAATAAAATAGGTGGCACCACCCATAGTTACAAAGCAGGTACTGTTTCCACAGCAGCAGCTTCAGGAAACTTTACTGTAGTTTAATAAGCTTGTCTAAGAAATTCAGCTCCTCAACATACAACAAAAGCACTGCAAAATAATACATCAAATAAGTACAAATAACCTAAAAGAGAGGGATATGTTCCAACCAAACATTATTAACGTTTTATCCAATTTTTTTAAATACTAAGAATTACGCAGTGAAATATATTTAAAAACAAATAAGAGAAAGTTAAAAGCTTGATCTTGAGTACCTGATCCTTATTATTTAATAGTAAATAAAAAAAAAAAAAAAAATATATATATATATATATATATATAGTATTGCATAAAAATGGAATATTTCTCACCAGTCATCTCAGTGAAATTCATATTATAGAATCATCACACATATTAAAGGCCTAAATGTTTTTGTAATATTGATTGTGGCTTACAGAAAATAAAAACTCAAAATTCAATGTTTCAGAGGATTTGCATATCATGAGACATGTCATGGTGTCTAACCCTCATCAGACAATTAACTCAAAACACCTGCAGAGGTGTTTTGAGGTCAGTCTGAACACACGTCCAAGCCATAGACACCCTCAGACTGGCCACTGCTGATGAAGAAGCTGATTGCTCACTGTATATTGTACCCTGGGGAGACAATTAAGACAATTTTCAGGGCCCTTGGGGGGGCCCTCCACACACAAAAAAAAAAAAAATTACAGAAATAAAAAAAAAATCGGGACCCTGTCAATTACTATTATTGTGTTTTTTTAAAATTATTTTTAGTAGTAAAAATTAAATGTTATCCCTCCCAGACCAAAAAACACACATCTTTGCACTGAACACCCCTGACAGATGTTCTCTATCTTGCTCTCAATGAAGGCGGATGCTTTTTTCCTCTGGAAAAACTGCAGCCAGTCCAAACAGTTTTACCTTAGCTTGCATTTAAATTAGAGTTATATGTTGCCACATCCCGCCTGACCCGTCCTCTCCTAAGTGAAATTAAAGCTGCAGTATGCAACTTTTATAATCATATTTTTTTTACATATTTGTTGAAACTGTCATTGTGTTGTGACAGTGTGGCATGAGAGATAATTTGTGAAAAAAATATTTCCTCCGCCTTCTCCCTGTGGTATCTAGAAACAACCAATCAGAGGCAGGAGGTGGGTTTTAGCGCTGTCAATCACAATCTCATGTGGCTGCTCATCCTTCCTCCCCCTTGCTCTCTGCTATGCTGCAGCTAGCATAGCCTGTTGTGAATTCTCAGTTTAGTTAGCATAGCTACCAGTGACGGCAGATAAACAGTTTTCCTGTAGCAATAAGTTGTTTCTCCACCATTAGCACATTTAGCAGTGAATGTATGAGGTTGATTGATAGCACTAAGACCCTCCTCCTGGTTCTGATTGGTTGTTTTTGGTCAGAACGGCACATTACTTTAGCTAACAATAGCAGTTAAGGGAGGAGGTGGAGGAGATTGATTTTTTTCACAGATTGTCTCATACCAAACTGTCACAACATTGTGTCAGCTTTAACAAATATGGAGATCTTGAGTCGTTGCACGGGGGGGCCAATTAAATTTTTTGTCATGGGGCCCAAGATTCCTGGCGGCACCCCTGATTGTATCCAAGCATATCAGGAGAAAATTGAGTGAAAGGAAAAGATGTAGTAGGAAAAGTTGGAGCAGCAACAGGGAAAATTGGAGCCTTGAGGAGATTGTTGAGCAATCTTCACCATACGTACACCTCAGCTGTGAGAGACAGACTGAAAAAACAATTCAGAGAAGAATTCAGTTGAGTAAGTATGGATTTGATGGCCCTACCAACCACTATTTCAGAATTCCTGTTAGTTCATATCTAAGAAACCCTCTTGTCCTCCTGCCTTTTATTAACTGCAACAGTTTGAACTTGCAGCTTGTATAGAAGACACGTCTACACTCAGACTCCAACCTGTCCACCATGGGAGAGACAAGCAGGAACCAACCTGTAGACGAGGCCAGGCTGAGCGGCAGGATGACGGGCAAACAGTTCAGACAGAAGGAAAAATGATACAATGTGATTTTCTGGATGTTATTTAGATTCTGAAAACACAACTCTAAAAATACATGGGTTCTGTAACAAACTCTAAAACACTGCACACAAATTACACAAAGACGTCCAAGACTGAATTCAAATTATGTAGAAAAATAAAAGCAGTTAAATAATCCAAAACAAATGTGCAAAAAAATCATTTGGCTTTTTTTTATTTTTATTTTAAACAATGACAAAAATAAAACAAAACAATACAGCTATGTAAAAAGTCCTTTTTACAGTCTTAAGGAAGCCAGGGTGGATGCCTTGGTGAGTTTTCCCATCAGTGAGAAAGAACAGAAACGGCTCTGAGCTCCCAGGCAGACTGAGGCTCTGCTGCTGGAAGCAGTGAGTGTTCAGAGGGGGACTTGATGTCATATCCACACAGATAATCTTCCAGTGAATTCAGAAAATAAACTCAGCAGTTTTGTTCAAAATAAAACGGAATTCATTTTAAAAGTAACAGATTAACAGTATATTTACAGATTCAACCTCAAACACCACACAGACCATGTTGATTCATTCACAAGCAGTAACTAAGGTACAATCCTCCATAATCACATTCTGAATTTTGACTTCTGATTCTTGTGGAATATCCAGCTGCTGTCTTACATTTCCAAGTTATTAATGTGGTCTGATGAAATACAAACATAAGTTACAAAAGGTAAACTTTGATTTCTGCTCTGTGATCCTTTAACAAACAGGACAGTCAGTTGTGAAACGGAGATGTGAGTTGATCCAAAACTGGAAATGACTGGAATGCGAGAGAGTCACAAGTCAGACTGAATCAATATTCACTCCAGAGATAATTAATTTGAAACTTGATGTGATCTGCAGTAAAAGCAGCAAACACAAACTGGCTCTCACAAGGATGAAGCCCCGGAGGCATCAACACCCGTCCATTACCTGACCTCAACCTATTTATACAGCCAGCCTGAAATAGGCACAGCCACAGAGCCAGTCACATCTCCTATTACAGGATGAACATCAACTCTGTCGGGGGGGAAAACAAGCTACGGGAATTCAAATCTCTGCTCTGCTCTGCATGCCGGTCTGTTGTTCATCAGTGTCTCATCGTTTCATGTTGCTCAGTCGGACTGCTTTTTCCAGCTCAAACTGCCGGTGGTCGACACGCTCCAGGAAGTTCTTACGCTCCACAAAACTAAACACACAAAAAGAAAAAAATTGTCTTATTTTCCCTCAAACAACTCCCTCTGCAATATGTACATAAAATGATCTGATGTGTCTGAATTGCTATAAGTTGGTCCAATTCTCTGAATCACATGCAAAATAAGGAAAGAGTTCAGACAGATGTCAGCAGATCCTCAGAGACACGGGGACATCCAGTGTCTCAACACTAAGACACTCTGCTCTCTTACCCTTCTCTGCCTCTGTTATGGATAGCCAGCTCCTCTGTGATGCCCTCCTCTGATTTAAAAGCATCCCAGTCCATCTTTGACTTTTCCAGTGTGCTCATTTTTTGCTTCTTTCCTCCAATACGATTAAGGATACTGGACATACCTGCTGGACGCTTAGCACTGCAGAAATAAAGGAAGTGAGAGTAGAGATGACTGACGCTGTACACACATTCACAGGAGAGCCGAACAGCCCTAATAGTTGAGCTTTGTTTGTGGAGCTCACAGTGAGCTGACCTCACCTGATGATGATTATGATGATGATGATGACCTAACCTTGTATCAAATGATTTTGGAGTTAAAAATGTCAATCTATTCTTCACCTAAATCTGAACACAATTTAAGTTTTTACTTCTACGTCTTAGAGTGTGTGTTACATCTGTGGTCAACACAGAGCTCTCAGCTGAAGTCATGTTTAGATGAAAGCTTCTGCTGTGAGAACCTGCAGATCAAAGTTAGTTCCAATCAATCACTTTATGAAGGAATAATAACACATAAGAGGAGATGGGCCTTGTAATTTCATGCTGCATGACAAAGCCCTGCTTGGTTAATTACTGACAATCATTTCACAGTAGTTATTTTGGCATATTAAAATGACATCCAACCATGAGAGCTGTGCAGAAATAAACTCAGATTATAATTTGCTGATGCCTGGTTTGCCACTGCACTAAACATAAGCCTAATCTAATTACTCTCTCTTTGTAAATCATGTTCTTCAATCTTCTAATCATGTTCCCTCATGTTCCCTTCATGTTTGAAGGAACAGTGTTCCTTCAAACACTGTTCCCTCAGTGTTAAAAGCTGCTATGCCATCAACATTGCAGCTTTTATGCTGAAATGTTGCAATGCAAACGCTCCTGTTTGATGTGGATGCATCAATAGGTCTGATATCTTTCCAAAGCTGTAGCTGGAAAAAAGAAATATCAAGGAAATCTTGCAGATTAGTTTCAAAAGAACAGATTAAACATTCATCATAAAAGATCCAGTTTAATGTTTCTAATACTAAATGTGCTGCTGCTATTTTACTGAGCTTCACTTCTTCAGCAACAAAAAGTCTTGCTAATACGCTGCAGATTGAGTCCAACACTAATCACTGATGAGTATCAGTGAAATGTTATACTTGGAACATTTCAGTTCCGAGTACATATATTATATACATGTATTATGACATAATACACATGTAATATTATATGTATTATATTGTACCCATAATATCTGAAGGTTTTCGGACCGTTTCCATCATTTTATCCAAAAAAGAAAAAAAAAAACAAAAGAAAAAAAAAACACTTGGATCTATTATTAATTTCTCCTAAAGGTTTAATTTAATAACTACAAATGACTACAAATAACTTCAAATTTCTTCTGTACTGTTAATATTCTATATCTATAACATCTCCATCGGATTGTGTGGAAGAAGGCTGAACTCAATTGAGGATTTGTTATAATGGCAAGTTCCTCCTGAGTGTTGCACTCTTTTACCACTATTACCCCACCCATCCCTGGCGAACACCCACCCATGCACTCAGACAGACAGACAGACAGACAGACAGACAGACAGACAGAGACAGGAAATGGGCTGTGAACACTGTGGTTCCCTTCTGCTACAGAACTATTTCCCATTTCCTCTCTGCTGCCAGAGCTTTCTTCTCTGGAAAAAGGATGTGCACATCCCCCTTTCCTTTAACACTGTGGAAATTAAATGAATTACAAATATGAAAGCCTCTCAGGACAAATAGGCATGAACATTTTATTTAACTTTTATGGTGTATACTATGAAAGCATAGTGAAAAATTTGGCATGTTTAAGCGTTAACATTTCATCAATATTTAATGTGAAAACTACACGCTAACAGCATGTCAACATCATGTACTGTTACCACATATATGCCTTTTTGATAAGGGGTAACAGCATTGGTTTGTGTGCTGTCACTGCATTTACTCATGAGCTAATAGTAATACTTCCATTAAGATATGTGTTTTTCTTTTTGCATTTTATTGTCACCAAATAAAATTTGATTTAAAAAGAAAGACAAAAATACAGATAAAAATAGCCCAATCACATGTGGCCAAACTGCTTTAATTGCTATTTTCTGTAAAAAAGTTACTCAAGTACATTTATGTGCCAGTGTAAAATAAAACGTCAGGGAAGATTGAATAATGAATTAGTGCTTCCCATGACAACACCTTTGGCTATTATAAAAATAAAGATCTATTCTTGTATGCAATGTGTCCACTAGAGGGTGCACTGAGGGTGCACTGAAATACATTTGACTCAATGTATTTCAGTCATTGAGTCAAACTCAATGACTGAAATACAGTTTTCTACTAAATTAGAATCTTCAAACTTATTTTAACAATTAGCAATAATTAAGGGAATTAGACCATTGTCTGGGAAGATAAGTGCTCTTATTGTAAATTTTTTAAATATAATATAATCATATATAATATGCTATGACTTTTAGACCAACATTTTAATAATGATTGAGACATGAAGCATTTCTTTTCGCGCATGCATAATGAGCAAACACGTAGATGTATCTCTACACAGAGTAAGATACCTGGAGGCTTCTGAGTAAATCTTTATCTCAGCTTTTAGCTAGACAATAACTATTTAGAGACAAACTGAGGCACACCTAGTATTATTTTTTTTAACATGCAATTGTTGATTATGTTTAAATATATTTTGGTGAGGCAGAACATACTGTAAGGTGTGTGTTTACCTGGGTCCAGGAAGAGATGACTGTGTGTGAGATGAGCTTGTTTCTTCATCTTGCTCCTGGTGAGCGCTCTGACTCTTCAGATAACTCTTAGCTTCCCTGGAGTCAGCTGATACTTCTTTATCCACCCTAAGACAGAAAAAGCATATGAATACTGACTCTGCTTCTGTGTTTCGTCACCAGATAGCAGTCCACTAGAGGGCGCACTGAGAGAGAGCTAGACATCACTGAATCGCTGAGTCTTTTTTACATAACATTCAATTATTAGTAATAGGCTTCTTCAGGATGCTGATTACTTACAGCTGCAGCATATAACTTTTATAAAAAAATATTTGGTAACACTTTATTTGAAGGGGTGGAATAAGACTGACATGACACTGTCAGAAACATGACACAACACCTGTCATGAACATGAATAAGTCTTCATGAATATTTATGACTGTCATAAAGTGTCATTCTGTAAATAATGACACCTTTAATACAAAGTTGACATTATTCAAAATGTCTTCGTTATGACAACTTGACATTAATCATCATCTGACATAAATTTGTTATAAAAGTATTACCGATTAAACTTTAAAAAATAGCTCTATGTATTAATATTATATAGCTCTGCCATGTTGTTTAGTCTTAATTTTCTTAATTTAATCGATCCTAAAGTTTTACAGCAAGATGTCTACAAAGCACTTATGAAATTAGCATTTGAAACATTATTTAAGGTTGTTTTAAGTAGTGCAATACACCATCTCCACCAGTAAGAGGCAGCAGTGCACGAACAGGCGTGCAGTGTGTTGGTGAAGAAGAAATCTTCCATATTGTGGCGCAAAAATAACACAAGTTATAACCATAGACATAATATAAGAGTAGACCCCGCATTGGCCGCTCCGGCGCAGGAAATACGGCGGCCATCTTGGAGCGGTATTCTCTCCTACTTTGCTCAATCAAAACAGCAGAAGATGCCTCAGCACTGAGGGATATTGTTGTTCTGGTCGATGGATTATTGATGTGAGGGCTCCACAGACAACATTTCACAAGTAAGATGGACATATTATTGTGTATATATTGTGATTAGAATATGACTTTACTGTATTTATCTCCACCGGTGAGATAGCAGCTAATATTAGCTACAGTGCTAATATTAGCACTGTA